GTATATGTGGGAATAAATAGCAACAAATTATTTGTCGCTTCAGCGGATAATGTGACCTTTGGTGGTCGCGCGATCACGTGAGGCAGAGACAGGTGAGCGGACAGGGTGTGAGTGTCTGAGTTCAGAGCTTTGGCGACTATCAGACAGGCACCACGCTCCCCAAATAACAGGCTTTGGCCCACAACCACGTCTCAATCGGCTGATCTTTCCACACGGAATTGTAAGCCTTCATCCGATTTAAACCGTCACTTGCTGCAAATTGGTGGTTATCAAATTAAAGAATGCACAATTTCAAATTATTTTACCCTGTCAAGTCAAATTTTTATTGGTTCGCGCTTCCATTCTCCGCGATTAGTCCTGTTTAAGGCTGTGCCTTGAGGAAAACTAAGGAGTTGCACTAATTGGCGTCAAGATCAAAGTGGTTCATTGCCCGACTCTTCATTCTTCCTCGCGAAATACAATCACGACTCGGCTGTCGTCCCTTTAACAAACTCAAGTAGTTCAAACATTCTTACTCCCGACACAAAATTTTCAACTTCTTTTCAAATCACATGAAATTTTCTGTAATAATTTTCACGCGTCTTGAAGAATTATTTTGGGGGATGAGGGGAGAAGGGAAAGTAGTTGGGTACGCTTAATCAGTGCCGAAAGATTAGGATAAACCATACGGTTTATTAGTTTGGCTTTTCGAATTTCCCATAGAAAAAAAAAACATCCTCATCTCTACTCCTTCATCTCTAAAGGGTCAATAATGGAAAGAGCAATCAACTCACGCTCATCGAAACAGGTCATATGAAAGCCACCAGAATAGAACTCCAATCCGACAATGGCGAAGATGGTGATTGCGAAGAGAAGGAGGAGACCTATTTGAAGAAGAGGTGCCATTGCTCTAAATATGGACTTGAGCACAATCTGCAGACCTGTAATCAACAACAGAGGTGAAGAGAAAATGATGATCTCTGGGAAGGAATTTGGGATGAATGCTGAACTAACTCTCGAATCCAGTGACCAATTTGATCGGCCTCAGCACCCTCAGAGCTCGAAGTGCCGGTTGATTGAGGTTAGGCAAAATGTACGCTAGCAAGCTGAAATGGTAAAATGAAAGCACTTTATCCGAACCAGATTGGTTTTCATCACCAAAGCCGGCCTCAAAAGGCGGTAATGTGCTCCATTCCTTTCCCACCATTCGATCATGTTTCCTCAAACCATCGTTTCACATTCCTTTAAAGGTGATTCGCCTGAATTCAGTCGATGCTACAATTGACTTTAGGTTCGACAAGATGTCATGAAACCACTCAAATCATTCAATTAATAGTGAATTAAAGTGGGCATTTGATAAAGTGAGCGATTTGTAATTACTTTTATCACTTGACTGACAATGGTGCAGTACTAACAATCCTCCTTACGGCCTTGAAGCCACGTCCTTAAGAGTATATAAGGACAGGAAACGAGAGAGTTAGTGCAACAGTGAATAGTGGAATAAAACGTTTTACCCGGTTGCCACAACTATGAAGTCGATTATGTTCCAGATGCTTCGTAGATAGGCACCTTCGTTGAGTACGAATCCCAAAGCAGCGATTTTGAGCAAGGCCTCCACACAGAAGATTCCGAGGAAGTACTTCTCTGTTTGCTCCTAGTCGTGAGGATGAAGTATTTGTATACCCGAACCAAACGAGATTAATGCATTTGGTAAATGACGTGTGAATGACATACCAATTTGATACTACATTGCGGAGCTAACTCACTGAGTTGCGTATGCAGTTATGTAAAATGTGTTTTAACTCACGAGACTTTCACTGAGGGCCGACTTGTCGCCAGAAGGGTAATGCCGCTCCATTGCGAGAACAATGCAGTTGGCGGTGATTGTGAGCAAAACCATATATTCAAAGGGCGTGAACCAGAAGAAAGAAGTAGTTAAGGGTATTTTCGCTTACTCAATGGAATCTATCAAAAAAGCTGGGAGGATTGTAAGGTGTTCCACTAGTTTGATAGAAAAAGTTGTAAGGGGGTGCGCAGTTAAATGGGCGAGGCAGCTTGTCCACTGTCCACTTGAATCAAGGGGTGAAAAAATTTTCCCACTGTACAGGATTATGAAGTATACGCTTAACCAGTGACAGGTGCTCCAGAACATTGCATCAAGATTTTTTGATAGCTTTTCACTACATTGAGATGCAATGCAAAGAAGCATTTTAAACTCTTGTTCATGTGGCTAAGGAGACAGCGAATCGGGTTACGAATCGTGCGGAACTTCACATGCTTTTGGGATTAAATTATGGGACTGTCCATGTTCGTTTGTTTTATTTCACATGGTTAGATGCTATTTTATGCTTCATGAATGTGCAGGATGCAATAAAATGTTGCGATAGAAATTGAACCGTCCCAGCTTACACTACCCATCATTGCGACAAGTCTTTCCTATTTAACAGTCTGCCATGGTGATGTGTCCGATTTGCAAACCACGGCTTTGCAGAAAGTACTCACAACAACCACTGTAGTTGCAAATTTAGAGTCAGAAATCAGTCTACTGATTGTTGCATGCATTGACATTTAGCCTCGTAGAAATAGCAGGAGAGTACAGCAGTTTTCGAAATACACCCTAATTCCATTGTATGGATGGGTAATCAAATTTGACAATGTGTGACACACTCGTACGCCCTTCTCAGGCCAATGTGGATGACGAATTTATCTAATTATCAACGAAAGAATTCAGTAAAAGCAAAAACACGAGTTGCTGTCACCTGTCTTACCAGTAGCACCTCTAAGCAGAGTGTTTAAAGCTCTAGGTTTACCGAACACCAGTACCAAGCGCTGCGTACACAACTCCATTTTAAGGCAAAAAGGTAAGCAACAGTAGAAATCAGTAGATCAGCAAGTGGGTGACTTGATTCCATTTGAAAGTGTTTTAGTGCGAAAGCGAAACCACTACCTAGTTGTAAAAAGCGCAGGGTGCGAAATCAACCTTCCGGGTGCCTATGGCGGAAGGAGCGCATGGATCTCACTTTGACTGAGATGGCTCTTAGGACCGCGTTTTTGTTAGCAGAATAAAGTCTAGCACATTCCGCACACTAGGACCCCATGTTTAAGCACCTTAGTAGGTTTTCATCAAAGTTTCCACTATTTAAGGTTAAAATTTAACTGACAAAATATCAATTCAATTACTTGTGATAACTAGAGATGAGGACATTTCTCGCTTGACTAGCGAGGTTGTTGGTGGATGCTTAGGGCTGACCTTTGCTTAAGGTAGAGGAGAATTTTATTGCTTAACTTTTGATTTTGCAAAACCAAGCAGTGAAAGCAGTCAAATGTTTACAGAGTCTGAATATGTACGATAATCTGTGGATAGAACAATGAGACTATCCAAACTCCCCTTTACTCAATGGAACTGGAAAAGGATATCCCCAATCAATTATAATCCGTGCGTACTTCCGGATAACATTTTCCTCCGAAAAGATGAACAGCAATTTATTTCCCGAGACGATGGGTTGGGCTTCGGGATCACTCTCGGGATTTGGGGTTGCCTTCTCCGAGCGTTGAGTGTAGATTGAAGGGGAGAAGTTTAGGGAGATTTGTGAGGCGTCACAGCCCCGCATCTTTCCCTGCATTGCGGAGGCCGCGATAACTCCTAGCGAAGTGATTCCCGACTTGGGGCTACCGTAGCCGTCCCCGCCAATTTTGCTACCACTGCAATCCATGGGGCTTCTGCTGCCAGCACATTCCTCCCCAGATGCAGCAATTCTAGTCATACTGATGCAGTTTTAAATACATCCTCTTTGGTGGAGTCGACAATGCATTGACAATATCTGTCGGAGATGGTAATGACGATGACGAAGGAAGTACTCTCTGCCTTCGCGGCACCCAAGCTCACGCTCACAAAAAACACATTCACAGCGTTAGTTCGCTTGCGCTCTTGCTGTCTCACTCACTCACTCACTCACACACACACAC